TTAAAAAAAAACAACACACACACACACACACATACACCAGAATGCCAGAATGTCCCCATGATTAATCATCTGAACAATTTGTCAATAACAAACTTGTTACCACCCCACAGGCCTGCCCGTCTACCTTTTTCTTCCTTAGGGGAATAATACCATCCATCCAGTTACTTAGAGAAAAAAAGGAAAGCATCCTAGATTGCTTCCTTTCTTTTAATCCTAGATGTAACTGACAGTCCCAGTCAATTTTATATTTGCCAGAAACCTACCACCACTGCCTTTGATTTCAGTCCCGCTATCCTTCGACTGTTTCATTACATATCTCTAAGTTGTTCTTCCAGCCTCTAGTTTGGAAGATAGTTTCCAGTAAAAATGTCTTTCACTCCGAACAGAGCCAGATCACTCTTTTGAAAGCACAATGAAATGCTGCTTCTGATTATTTAAATTCTTTCAGAAATGTACGGTTTTATTTCTCTGAGTTTATTTACGTTGATTTTTTTAAAAAGCCTCCTCCCACTCTCATTTTACCTCACCTTACCTCTTATTTGCAAAACACAATATAGGCTTTTTCTGATCTCTCAGGTGTGACTGGATATCCCTTCTGTGTTAGCATCACAGTAGTTGCAGATACATTCTGTTAGTATCTATGATTATGTTTAGTTCCTCTTCTAGATATGATCTACTTATGAGTAACAAATGTCTTATTAACCTTTTTACCTCCAGTATCTCAAAGTGTCTGAAAATAAACATTCAATAATTCAGTAACAAGTATCACTGGCATCATGTTTTATTCAACAATTTGTGATTCCACTTATAGTCACAGATAGTAGAAACTACTTTTGCAGTAGGATAATTTGATTGCTCAGGAAAACTGCAGCAGAGTTGGTGATGCTCTGACTCACTATTTCAGAGCAACAAAATAAAAGAAAATTGTATTACTCAAATTAATTGCTATGGTCACAGTTTCAATAGGAATCTTTCATCCAGTCATGCATTTCATCACCTTTAGGGGCAAGTTTCTGTTCTAGACATTGAGTATGCTGCAGTGAACTAAACAAAGTGATGGTGCTAGTATTTCACTGGGAAGAGAAATAATCAAATAAGCAAGATAAATTCAGATAGTGACAAGTGCTATGAAAAAAAAACAGGGTGAGGATCTCCTTCACACTTGGTGTTGAGATAAAGCCCAGTGAGCTAAAATTTGAAATACAAAGGAGTCATGTTAAGATCAGAAGGGAGCGCATTCCAGGCAAGCACATTGCCCTACAGTGGAAATGGGCACGACAAGATCAAACAATTAACAGAAGACCAGTTGGGCTCTACATTGTAAATAAAAGGGGAATAGCATGAGATGAGGACAGAAAGGCAGGTGCCAAATTATA